TGCAGTTTTTAGATAGCCAAAATAGATAGGTCATGATCCCGGATAAGAATCTCCAGGTTGCTAATGTTGTTTTGGTATCCGTTCATGTTCCATTGGATAGCAAAGCATGAGTCGAATAAGAAGGGTGATTCTGGGTTCAGGTGACCTTGAGCACCGTTGGTCGGGTGTCGGCGATTTTCTATTAACGGAGTCGTCAGCTTGGAGCGGACGACGCGGTAAGACGGCCACCTTTTGGATTCAGAGTTCTTTGCAATAGTACACACTAAGATTTTTTTACAGTATACTGTAAATTTTTACCGAATATGGAACAGCTGAACGTTCGGTAATCCATTCGGTAATGTTTCAATTTACAATCCGTTCGGTAAAATTTCTTCGCTTGTGCGCTGTCAAAATTTACTGACCTGCGGACTATAAATTTTACTGAACGATCAGTAAAGTTTACCATAGCGTTCTGTATATGTTTTACCGAATCTACTGTACTTTTTTTCAGAATAAATCATAAAAATTAGATTTTTTATTGATTAATTATTTGTTTCTTTCTTTCACCAACCCAAAAATTCATTCGACTATTTAACCATATATTTTTTAATAGGCATTTCCATGTTGAGTTCGTACAAAACTTCATAACAAAAATCAGTAATGAAGCCGGACTCAGCAAACTGTGGACTTTTGAGCCGAACTCAGCACTTCTGAGGAGGATATTGAGTTGCCTAGCGTCCATGGCGTCTGAAATTAATTGACCCAAAAATGAAAACTGATTAAATTTTCGTTGTAAATTGAACACAATCTAGCAAAAAAAAAAAGTAAAGTACTTACGTTTCACAACATAAAACCGAATAACACTCAACATCGAAATGGCAGCAAAGGTTGTGTTTGACGGTACAAAGTTCACAAATCTGTTCAGTAAGTTTTACGGAAATGCTGTACTTTATTGCTGTTTGTTTTTGTAAAATATGATTTTTACAGTGCATTCGTTACAATTTTTACAGAATTGCGGAATCGCAGCCATTTACAGTTTCAATCAGCAAATTTGATTTACAGTTTTCGGCAAATTTCTGCAAATTACGGAAATTCAGCAGTTATGATTGCGGAAAATTGGTAAAATAATACTCTTTACAAAGCATTCGTTAAAAATGATATTTCACCGAACAAATCCAGCAAAAAAAGTACCGAACAAGATTTAAGAAATTTGGTGTGTATAGTTTGTGTTGTAAAACACATTCTAGCTTGTTAGAGATGAACTAGCCTAAGGCTAAAAATCTCTTAAATAAAGAAAAAAAAAAAAAAAACATTCTAGCTTGACGGCAGCCTGTATTTGTTAATTTATGTTTACGGAATTTATTGCTTTAGAGCTATCATATAATTAATCATGTAAAAGTAACGTTACTATGTATAAAGAAAATACATGTCTGTTAGATGTAGTTATAGTGAAAAATATACAGTTTTCATTAAATTATGAGGTATTACGGAAGCTGTTACAGTTTGACGTGTGCCGGGGTAAGTCGGCTTGACGGTTGGAACTGAATGCGTAAATAACAATATTTCGTTTCTGAAATACATCAGACTTTTTTCGAAAACATTTGTAGATCTGTCATCAGTATAAATTCGTGAGATGAAGGCCCCATGGGGATCTGCTAGACAATCCAGAACATCCGTTAAAGTAGTCAATTCATAGAACTAGACTCAGGACTTCTAAGAAGCTTCTGTAAAGGCATTATAAGTAATTAAGGCATTCCAAATCGTTATAGTCCACAAGTAAATTAGGAATTCCCTCACTACGTCGCGCTAGTGACTTTCTGTATCTATATCTTGAAATCTTCACCATCTAAAAAATCAGGACATCTACGTGAAGTCCACGCGTAGACTAGTGTCACGTAGTGAGATCAGGGCCCCACAAAGTCACTTTCAATAGAAAATCATCAAGTGACGATGAAGCTGTAAACCATCACTTCCAATTGAAAGTCATTCTGTCTTCTCTTAGAGCAGATGCCCGTCAACATCAACAGATCCACTTTCGATCAGCATGAAACTGTTTGTTTTGGCTTGACTTGTGTTCATTTCTTCTTTCATTGTCAAATGAACATACTTTTGCATTGAAGCGAAGCTGTTCGATTCAAATTCGCGCAGTTTTTATGACTTTTGTTGTTTGTTCACTCGGTTCATTTAAGCGTATGCGCATAGATCTGTGCGCGTGGATGTCAAATTTATCATTGCCGGGTGGTTTGTTTACCCATCAATATGGGTAATTTTTTAATCGAAGATTGAAAATTGATATGCGACGCCATTTTGAAATCCAAGATGGCGGCCTCCGATTTCAGAACAAATGGGAAATATTGTCAAATACCCATCAATATAGGTATTTTTGGAATCGGGATGGCGTCTAGAGGCTTAAAATCGATATCCGACGCCATTTTGAAATCCAAGACGGCGACTTCCGATTTGTGGAAAAGTGTCAAATACCCTAAAATATGGTTATTTTCAAAATGTAGATGAGACGTAGATGCCGAAAATTGATGTAACGCCGTCTTTTAATCCAAGATGGCGGCTTTGGTTCAGAGAAACTGTGAAATACTGTCAAATACCGATCAATGTGGGTTTTTTTTTTAATCGGGGTGACATCGATGTCCGACGCTTCAGATTTCAGAAGAAGTGTCAAATAGCCTGCAAATGACATCGAATATCGATTTTCAGCATATACGCGTCGTGCCCGTTCCGAAAAATATCCTGATATTAGTTGATGGCCGCCATATTGGATTCCAAAATGGAATCGGACATCGATTTTTGGCATCTACACATTGTCCCCGTTCCGAAAATACCCTGATATTGGGGTATTTGACGCTTTCTGATCAACCCTGATGGCCGCCATATTGGATTTGATTTTCGGCATCTACGCGTTGTCCGGGGACCGAATAACCGAAAATACCCATATTGACCGCCATCTCGGACTCCAGAATGGCCTCGTTAATTTAATTTTCGTTTAACATAAAATAATATATTATTACTACACATAATTCCGATGCCATCCTTATCGGCAAGCGAATACTATATGATGCTTGACGACGCGATGCGTGACAAGTCGAATGAGCCAGAATTGAAGTGAGTTCATTTTCTTTTCCTTGTAAATGCATAGCCCTGAGTGAGATAATTCTGAACTAACTAACCCACAAATTTGAAGACATTGATTACATGAACAACTTTCCCGAAGACGGAAACATTCTAAATAGTAAATATCTCAAGATATATTTTATACAGGAAATTGACTTGCACATTAGCGCCCCATAGTGAAAAAATTCTGTGCAATTTTGCCGAAGACAGTAACCTTTTATATGGCCAGGATCATCATATATTCCATGTGGCCGTCTTACCCCTAAGGGTGGCCAACTTTACTCCGCCTGTTTTTTTTTCTTTCATTATTTCGCCTGTTTTTGATTCGCGATAAAATATCAACAAATGAAAAGGAAGTTTTCTGAAAATCAATGTGATAGCTGAAATTTTCATACAATTTTGGTTAAATTTTACTTCAAGCGTAGGGTGGCAAACTTACCTCGTCGTCCCCTATAGGAGTTTCAGCTACACCGAAAATAGTTTTCATGTAGCTTCCATTGGAAACGCACATGATTTTCATCCATAATCAAAATTAATGGAATTCATCTAAATTTCACATAACATCTATGCGATCACATTTATTTTATATGATTTTTCATATGAATTTCATGGACCTCATAATATTCATGTGATTTTGTGGTGGGATTTGCTGCTATGTGATCATAGAAAAGCTATGTGAAAATCACATGGATTTCATCCATTAGATATGTGATAAATTTTTTGAGTGTACGTGCATTCATAAAAACCTAAATATTTTGACTTGCGAAATTGCAATTTGTCTTCATCTGCTAAGCTTTTTACGCTTCTTTTATGAGTGTTTTTCCGGCTCTCAACTTAGTGCTCTTGATGCACTTCCACAGTTATTAATTGAGAGCTTTCTATGCCAACCAATGTATAAATTTGTATATTGTGTGGCAAGCACAGAACTGCACAGAAACAAATTTTGAATTTTAACTATCGCGTTAAATCTCCCTTCGTTTAATTTTGAGCTATTATACTTGGCATAAACAGCGATATCGTTTACAAGCTTGCATACAATATTGCTAATTTATGCGATATTGCACTTAAATTTACACGAAATATCGCGTAAATTTATGCCAAATCTAGCGTTAATTTTATGTGTACTATATCTAGCAGAAATTTACATGAATTTTTCGAACGGTGTGCGATCGAACTACTATACAAACTCCGATAGTCGTCATGGTTGTGCTTTTCTTCGTCCTGCTTTCGTTCTTCATCCAGTTTTTGCTTTTCTGGTTGCTTCCGGGCCTTCCACTTGGGGTGGTGCTCCTCAATCTTACATAGAAAACACATGTTTTTGTTTCCTGTATAGATATATTCCTCCTCCGATCGAGGAAATGCAGCGAGGTGGGCATTTCCTTTTTCACATCCATATATACACCACATACATCAGTCTACATGTTGATACATGCTTCCATGTGGACGGGACCCGCATCCAGAGCCTTAACGAAATTAACATTGCTATTATTGCACTTCCATTACCAAAGCTGAGTGTGGTGGTATTCTTAATTTCAACGTCACCGCTCATCATCCAATTTTTGCAACCTCAAAAAGACCGACTTGCAGGTAAATGCCTGAACGACACCGAGAGATACAACTGCTGCTGTGCCAACAGCTGAAAGCAAATTGACCGAAAATAAACCTGTTCTACATACTTTGCTATAGGGTTGTCAGTACTATTTTCAACAAGTCTGGAAGAATCCTATAAATTTGTCTGCAAAAATGTGGCCTATGTTATTACCATATGAGATTTCCAGACTTTTCTAAATATGTTGTTTGGCGGAGCGATAAAAAAAAAACTGGATTTTTCACATAAATCTGGAAGATTTGCACTCACTTGGTGATTAACTGTCATTTCACTTCTTTTTTTTCAGTATCCCATTACTACCCGAACGGAGAGCTTTTCCAGGAATTCAAAAAGTTGCCATTTGAGCTTGTACGCTTGTACGTTGCTGAAATTGCTCTTGCACTAGGTATGAAATTTTTTTTTAATTTAACTATTTAAACACCGGTTACGAATTTATCTCTATTTTGTTTTTTTGCAGATTTCCTTCACCAAGCCGGAATCATCTATCGTGATTTGAAGCCGGAAAATATACTGCTAGATCAGTACTACCACGTGCGGTTAATTGATTTCGGACTGAGCAAGTGGCTGAGCATCGGTTCCCGGACGCGTACTCTTTGCGGAACGCTTCACTATATGGGTAAAGCATCGTTTCAATCTGTTTGCTACTAGCTATTTGTGCATCGTATCAAGTTCCGCGTTTATTCTTATTCTGATTCATTCGAATTGCATGTATCAATCGGGAGAAGTGGTTAAATGATTGGGAAGCGAAAATAATATTCGATTAGCACCTAGGTGAGTTTGAACGGCAAGACTAAATCAAAATGAATGCACGTTCGCAAACGTTCGACCTGACGATGGAGGGTCGCCAGGTTGACGAAGCTGTTTCGAGTATCTTCCATACGATTTTGTTCCACCGAAGCTTGGGCAAATTTATGTATACGGGAGAAGCCATGTACTCGATTGGATCTATCGGTTACATGGATGTAGACTGCGATTTCATTGACTTTACGTATGTTTGCTGTACTTCCCCGATGCTGGAAGAGACGATCAAAAGGGAAATAGGAGAGTTTAGCCGTCAGTTGCGCAGCAATGAAAGCTCTGGCACCGGACAAATCAGTTTGGAATTCTTTCAACGTAAGAAAGCACGGTGGGCTTTCCTAACGGAATGCATCCCTTGGGAAGTATGGACTATTCGTCTGGAATTGGTCAACCTAACGAATGAAGATGACCGGCAGATTTGTCGGGAGAAAGTAGGTGAGATGCTGTCGGATAAGATCGTTTACATAACGGAGGTGATGAATAGACATGATTACCTGCCGAAAACGCCGAATCAGACGGAGCTGGACTCGGTCTTCGATACTTCTTATCCCGATGTGCAACCGTATCTGTTTCAGTTCAAGTTCAAAACCACCGGACCCAGTACCAATTCGGTAGGAAAAACAGTCAAGAAGTTGTTCAAGGAAACGCTTTCGTTGTGACTGTTGACGACAGCAATTTTCGTATTATTGTTCGGAAGATAGCAACCGGTAGGAAACGGATTTCAGTGATTCTTTGCGACAGTGATTGGTGCGTTTGGAGGCTATTTTTGCGAATTTTAAGCAAATCGAATGAAGAGAGGTCACTAATGTCATTGCAATGGCCCTTGACATGACGTCGTACGTTCAGAATGACCAGTGGTGGTAACGAGACTGTCGTGAATAGTTTATATGACTTTTACCACCTCTAAGTGTGATGAAGCGGATAGGTTTGCTTTTCATTGAATATCACATATGTTAAAATAATAAGCTGCATGTTTTAAGTAATAATATATCAGTAAACATTCGAAACGAAATAAAAATTTCAAAACCTTTCTAAAAATAAATTCCGCAGGTGTTCAAATTTGTGTGCAACATCGAAAGTTTTATAGCATAAAAATCGAAAATTTTCCAGCAATATCTTTTTATGACTTGGACTCGAGTATGCGATTCGTATAGACCGTTTGATCAATTCTTGTTTTCAATTCAACACTAAAGATTCAATAAAAACTGTTAAATGTTTTGACAGTTAAATGTTATGTTTATGTGACGTTACTGATCAAATTCACATTGGTACACAATCGTGTTTCCTTTTTTGATTGATAAATAAAAAGGACTTCGATACTCGAATAGACACGGTCGTCGAATCTCACTCAATATTATGTTCCGGTTACTCACTTTCGCTAAAATAAACGTGGTTACTCATGAACTTAGTAAAAATCTGGTCGTATAGGAGTAAATGTCACTAATACTGCTACACTAATTTGCTCGAATACGAGTGACATATTCGAGGAGATTTGAAGTTTGATTCTACGGCCGTTCTACAGCATTTTAGAATTTAATCTTCTTGGGAAGGGAAGTAAAGCCGTTGGTCCCCGGTTCATGAGTTGATGGGTCGATAGGGTAGGGTCCAGGTGTGGGAGCTGCCTCCCTGACGTCGGTAGCATTGGTGCTCAGCACGGAAAACAAGATCAACGGGAAACAAAATAAAAAAAAACAAAGAAAAAAAGAATTTAACATTGGCTTTTCATCAAGTTTTTCGCTACCAGCTCAAATATTTATAAAACTCTGCACAGAGATTTTTTTTAAAGGAAAAAAATGGGGGTCTGTGTTTGAGTTCATTTCTTCCCGGGAGGCGACTATTTTCTACTCACTTTTTCCCTCGCCCGGAACTTACTTCTTTCTTGTTTTCCAATTTTCCCTGCATTGTTGCTTTTTTCACCAGCTTGTTTGCAGCTAAATATGTCGCGTCTTTCTGGTAGTCGAAATACGGTCGACGCTGTTCCTGGATTCTACTCGCCTGTTATTCTTATTATCTAATACCTAATTATCCCAACGTTTAATTTTAAATTGATTGAGCTTGGCATCTCTAGCATCAGATATTTAGTTATAATTCAAACAATTCATGAGAAAAATATCCACAAGCTAAAATCTTATTCTACAAGCAAACCTATCAGTGTAGAATAATGTTTGTCCACAATATTTGAAATGAAAACAGCGTTACCAGCAAAGAATGGCGTTCGATGAAGAAGGTAGCTGGAAAAGTATCATTAAGCCATCAAGACAAATGCTAAAGGTTAAATGATACGTAGAAGGATTCAAATGACTCATTTTGATGTGCTTACCATTTTCAACTAGCAGTTCATAGAAATGTCGTTCTTGTCTTAGGTTACCTAGTTCGATATCGTTGGATTGTGTTAGTCGTAAACTATGATGCAGATTAAGAGAACCATGAGTGTAATTGTGATGTGATAGACGGGAAAGCGTGTAAAGCAAACTGGGATATAGATATAAAAGTGATCGTAAGATAGGATCGTGAAAGTCTTAATCTAAATACAGGTATACCTCGATATAACGTACCTGTCGGCGATTTCTCGCAAACGGTCATTCAAACAAGCAAAGTAATATCACCATCGGACAGATGAGACAATCCCCCATTTATCGATATGATACAATACAATTGTATGATTCAATTGTTATTAGCGAGTTATTGACGATGGAAGTCAAAAGTGACAGTTACGTTATATCGAGGTATACCTGTAACGCACTACATACTGCATAACGAAATGCAACGGACAAACAAGTGTACATTTTTATTGTTAGTGAGTCATTAATGTAGTGATCAGTTATAGTTTCTTTTCAGTGTAGATATATTAGAATTCGATACACGATGCATAACAAAAAAAAAAGAGCGCTGATAGATGCTTAAAAAATAAAAATAATAAATCAAGATTATTCAACACATGTATGATTTGACTATCGCTGAATGTGAAAGAAGCCCTGGTTTCGGATAAAGGAAGTATTTATTACATTTAATAGACAAAGTTCGCTTCTTTGTGGAAATAGTTTTAACTAGAAAGTTATGTTATGTCTTGAAGGAACAAGTCTTGACCCGAGCAAGCTTACGCCATTCTATGCAATATCAAGCATTTGTTTGTAGAAAACGATTCCTGTCCATTCGAACGTTGAGACCTCTTTCAAAGGTTTATGTAACATTTTGCTGTAAACCAGTTCGCAGTCTACCATTTCGCAGTCTACTATTTCGCAGTATTAAAATACTCAATTTGATACTTTATTGATGTCAACTGATGCTTTAACTCTTTACTTACACGTCTTATTATAAGTAGGTATATGTAAATACAGGGGGAATGCCTTTTGGCTTAAATTAACTTAGCATAGTGGTCGTTGGCATAATGAACGTATGGCATAAATATACTGAAATATCTTCCAGATGCACACATAACATTTAAAAATACTACCGTGGAGGTTCCATATTTGACGCAGGTCCAAACTTGACGCGCTTTTGTGCTATGCCCGCACTCAGACAAGTATTTCACATAATTAATTTTAGCATAATTTTAGAAATACTCATTCACTCACCTCATGAACATCCCCACATTTTAGATATAGCTAGGTGCTTAATTGTTTTGTCGCAACAGTTGAACACAGAAATAACCCACTAAGGAAATTCGATTTTACTCTTGTTCTATACGTTAAACATAGTGTCGGAAGTAGTGCGCTGTAATCGCACAATGATGCGCTACACCACGCGCACTATTTCGGACACTGCATAACGTATGGAATGAGAGTAAAATCGATTTTCGCTAGTGTGTTATTCCAGTTTTCAACTGTAGCGACAATGTGTCAAATTTCATAGAAGTTACTGTATATATGAGTAATGGCAAACCGTTTAGTCTAATGTGGGTCATAGAAACCCGATTACAAAGTAATAGACATGTCAATGACTGATGGTTTACTGTTGCTTATAAATACTTTAACCGAGATATTCCCTTCATGAGCTGTTTCGAGTTTTATGGTTGTAGTGATTTATTGGCGCATTAGCATTATAAGTCGTAAATGCTCAAACGCAATGACAGTAAAGCCCTCAAGTAACAGTATGAACGACTGTTGCCAGAAAACTGAAATAAGCTGTTTTCAATCGAACAAAGCAGTGCACTTTGACAGCTTGTTTAGAACGGCATTTAAGCACAATACATAAGGTAATAATTTTATCATAAAAACGTTCATGTAAAGTTCATAATAATTACAGTTAAGGTTAAGCATCGAAAATTAACCATTCTTGATAAAGCTCGTGTTTATGCGGGATGGGAATCTAACATTGACGATAAGAATACTATATGTAGATGTATACTAATACTTGTTCCCCTAAATCCACGGCCAATGAGAGGCATTCAAAATTGAGTCAAATTTGACTAAAAATTTCTTAAAGTGAGGTTACGCAGTGAATAAGGAAAAATTGTCCTCGATTTTCCAGGAAAAACTTTTCCGGTTATCATTTTCACTCACTCACTCGTTCATAAAATCGCTGATTTCACCACTATGAAAGTGAAATTGATAGGTATTATGTGTCCTATAAATACTTCACAATCTTTTCTTGTTACTCACAAAAACACAATATCATATCAAAACATCTAATGATTGAATAAATCCGAAAAACAGTTTTTATAACTAAACGAGCATTTGCAACCTTGACCGGAAGACTATTGCAAAACGCGAAATGATATTAACTGCGAAATGGTCCGAACTGGTTCACCGCGAAATGGTTTACCGCAAAATGTTTTACATAGATTAGATTTTTCTCTTTCAGGTAAGTAAAATATACATTTATTCTGGCTAATATTGTTTTATTTTTTACGCGACACTCGCGTTTCATTCTTTATTTACAGCGCCGGAGATTTTGAACAGTGAACCCTACGGACATGCAGTTGACTGGTGGGCCCTGGGAGTACTTGCTTGTCAAATGTACACCGGTGAGGTGAGTAAGACTTTTATTCTATTCTGCAGTCCTTCAAACTTAATCCTTAATCCCGACCATACACGGCGATATTGACAAAACAGCTTTGGTCGCTCATTCGAGCTAAAAGTCATCTTCAAGGTAAACCATGTAAATTGTCAGGGATAATGCTTTCAGTGTTGAACATGTGCAGTTTTTATAATAACAAAATTTGAAGCGAAATTAAAAGAACTAAGCAAAACAAATTCATGGGGCCATTAAAGCGAAGAAACATCAACGTCCTTAACTGTCTGGATAACAATAATGAGACACAGAATGCACGAGATTACACTTTTTGTTATCAGGTGAATCTTTGTCATTGACAAAAAAATGAATGAGATTTTAACGAAGGTTTTTTTTTTGAGAATCAATTCACTGGAAAGTGACAATAATTGTGTCAATATCGCATGGAGTCTTTTAAAGACAATGACAAATTTCAGCACATGTTGTGGTTTATTGATTTATATGATAAAGCTCAATCGAATTAACTTTACAGAGCCGAGGATTCTTGTTAACTATACAATACAGCTTAAAGCTATAGTCAAAAGGTACAAAACAATAAACACTTTATCTTCCGCTATCCAATAAGACTCCTCCATCAGAACGGGAGCCGCTTCAAGTGGTTTCATTGTATGGCAGTATCGCCAACGGGGGGCACAGCACTTCCATTGCAGCAATGGACGCAAAACGTAGTCGGCATTCACACACTCATCGCGAAACGGTTGCTTCACAAAGTCAACGACGTATCGACCGAAAGAACTGCTGATGAAGAACAATAAGGAAGACCACACAATGGTTGCTGCCGAGTAAACAGAAGATCGCGTGACACACATCGAAAGTGGCCTGCTTCTGTCGACAACCGAGTGAATACTGCTCAGCACATGTTATCTGTACCTATTTTTTGTGGGGTCGATCGATGTTCTTTATCCGATGTTTATTCAACTAATACATGTTCAAGAGCAAATTTGGCGAAGAAATTATAAATAATTACATGAACCTTGTCGCAAAAAATCCGCGGTGTACCACACCGCTTCATAAACACCGCGGTTTACGAAACCACACGGACCACAAAAGGTTAGGTTAAATGTTCGTTGGTCCCGGCCCATGTGTGTTGTTGAATGGGTGTGATATCCTACGCAGGTGTGGAAGCTGCCGTCCTGCACATTCGATTGCCGTCAATGGCAATCGATGTCCGTCGGTGATTGGTACTAGAATGTGGACGTTAAATAAAGGAATAAAGAAGAAATCAAGTCAGTCACTAAAAAGTCACTAAAGGGTGTCCACGATGAAATTGCCACACACAAAATTGATTCGCAAAATTCGAGTTTTCATCCGAATACCATCAAATTTTCAGGGATTGAGAAATAACTATTAAACTTCATTTTACCATTTTAGTCGTATTTTATTTACAGTCCATACGCAAATGCCCGCACCTTGGCCTTAACCCCGGCCATAAGATTCTGCACAACCTGTGAATCAACCGTTTTTTGCATGTAAACCCATACTTTCTTCAGTTCCTCGACTGTCTTCACTACCTTAGGTCGTTTAAGAAGGTGCTGCTTCATAATCGCCCAGTACTTCGCGATGGGGCGGAGCTCCGGAGTGTTGGGAGGGTTGAACATTTTCGGCACGAAATTGACCTTATTGTCCACATACCACTTCAGCACGTCCTTGGAGTAGTGGCATGAGGCCAAATCCGGCCAGAAGATTGTTGGGACGTTGTGGGCCTTCAGGAGAGGAAGCAGCCGCTTCTGGAGGCACTCTTTTATGTACACCATGTTGTACCTTGAACGTTCGAAGCCCAGCCTTAGTTTTGGCCTTCTGGACAAAACTTCGGCTTAGGTGCAGCTTCTTAGCCACATCCCTAACGGAGGCGTTCAGATTTCGGTTGAAGGCCCCAACTACGCGGTTGTGATTTTTGGTGTTGTACGGAATACTTTTTCCTACACTTCTGGGCTTCCGATCGGTGGTCAACCGTTCCTTGAACCGCTTAATCACTCGCGACACCGTGGAATTCGCGATTCCCAACGTTTTAGCGATGGAACGATGCGAGCGATCCTTGTTCTCGTGATGAATGCGCAAGATTTTATCACGCACGAGCTGTTCTTTCGACTCCATTTCCGCGAGTTTTGATCACAGGACTTTAAAACTTGCAGGATGTAAATAATGCACTATGAATTAAATCCACCCAAATTTTCATTAAATTCTACCCAACGGTTAAAAAGTTAGAGCAATTTCATAGTGTGGCAATTTCATCGTGGACACCCTTTAAAGTCACTATTGCTTAAAATGTAGTCACTAAAGTCACTTTTTCTACGACCAACGTTGATGGTAAAGAATTTGACTTTTAAAACTCACATCAAATCACAGCTTGGTTTGGTAACAAATTTGTGTTAGAAAGATTAATTAAAAATCATTGTTTAAAGTCTGGCAAAAAGAGTTGGGGACAGACTTTACACAATAACTAATTTTGTTATTTTTGTTTTCACTGCCGTGAATTTCATTTTTTCTCTTTCCCGTGATCTCGAAATTGTCATAGACCAATTAAAAAAATTCTACGGTTTCGAAAATAAAAAAAAAGTTAGACCGATATTCAGGCCATTTTACTTCGTGATCTTGAAGCTAATCGTGATCCAAGCTTAAAGCGAACCGCACACGTATCAATATATTGACGCGAAGGGGAATTGACAATAATATTGATGATGTGAATATAGAATTATTGTCAATACCGATATATGGACGTCAATACAGAATGTATTGACTATACGATTATTGTCAATAAAAGCAAACGTGTAGGGTCCACTTAAGGTCTACACAAATTTTTCAAGCCAGAAATCTTTGAAACCCGTTTGCTAATATTTGTCCAAACGATTGAGAAAAAAAAATCATGTCACAGATTCTTCAGTTTCTTTTTAAATTGTATTGTATTTTTTCCGGACTTGTAATCCAGAATCAAAAAATTCCATGTTCAGGTTTGAGAAAAAAAAGCGTATGTGCATGATTATAAAATGCTTTTTTTATGTTTCAGGAGCATTGACATTTTTCAAGGACAAGGATGGCTTCGGCACCCATTGACTGTTTTTGGAAACCATCCCATAGCGGCTTCCTCTATCCAGATCCAGAACGTTCTGTATTTCATGCAGGAGCTATCGGCCTTCTCGATAACTATAGCGTAGCAACGCTTTCTCAAATTAACCACGTAGTCAACGAGAACAACCGTAGTTTGGACCTCTGCTTCGTGAGCACTCAGGACAATGCTCCGTTCATTTCCACAGCACCTTGTCCACTAGTTAAGCTTGTTCCGCACCACCCTCCTCTGATTGTCACTGTTGAGGACAATCTCTTATGACTTTTGAAAGGCCGACCATCGAATCATTGTAGATGTGTTGTCAAACATGGACTGGGAGAACATTCTCGATTATGACGACCTTGAGGCCACTGCGCAAACTTTTTCTCATGTCTTGGCATATGTCATTGACAGACACGTCCCGAAAAGCATTCACCGCAAAGACTCTCACTCTCCCTGGCAGACGATTGAGCTGCGTAGGTTGAAGTCGACCAAGAGAGCAGCATTGAGAAGATTTACGAAGTATCGCACACTTCCTCTGAAATATCACTACGTGAGGCTTAATCACGAGTATCAGCGAGCCAGTCGTCGATGCTTTCTGCGATTTCAACGAGGTATTCAGCGTAACCTTAAACTACACCCGAAATCCTTCTGGAACTACGTGAACGAGCAACGCAGATAATCTGGCCTCCCATCGTCAATGGAATTGAACAGTGAAGTCGCTTCCACTCCGCAGGATATTTGCCGCCTTTTTTCTATCAATGTTGCCAGTGTGTTCACTAATGAGAGACTAAGTGACGACCATGTTTCCCTCGCAGCCAGGAACATCCCACTAAATAGTCAAACGCTGGGTGCAATTGATGTCAACGCTGAGATGATTTCTAACGCTGCAACGCAGCTCAAATCGTCCTTCAACCCTGGACCCGATGGAGTTCCATCCGTGTTTTTGAAGAAACATATTGCTTGCTTGTTAACTCCACTTCACCGTCTATTCCGTATGTCCCTCTCCAGTGGTATATTTCCATCCTCCTGGAAATTTGCACACATGTTTCCTGTCCACAAAAAGGGAAGCAAACGAGCCGTGGATAACAATCGGGGAATTACATCGCTGAGTGCTGTTTCGAAACTATTTGAGCTTGTTATTAAAGGGTGATACGGTCAAAATTTGGTCAATATCAACTTGACGTATTTCTTTCAATTTTGCATTTAAAAAACCTGAACACCCCTCATTTTGAAGGTGTGTGTGTGTAGAATGTTGCTCCTATTTTGATTTTGGAATTCACTCTTCAGTTGTCAAAATGCCGTCCAAGCAAGACGAGCAGCGTATCAACATTTTGCTCGCGCATCGCGAAAATCCGAGTTACTCGCACGCAAAGTTGGAAAAATCGCTAAAAGTTGCCAAATCAACCGTTACAAATGTAATTAAAGTGTTTGGGGAACGTTTGTCGACAGCCAGGAAGTCTGGATCGGGGGGAAATCGAAAACCGGAAGCCACTGAGACGACAAAGAGAGTTGCCGGTAGTTTCAAGCGAAACCCTAACCTCTCTCTCCGGGATGCCGCAAATAAGCTGGGTGTATCGTCTACAACCGTGCATCGAGCCAAAAAACGAGCCGGACTATCGACTTACAAGAAGGTAGTGACTCCAAATTGCGATGATAAACAAAATACGACGGCCAAAGCGCGATCCCGGAGGCTGTACACGACGATGCTGACGAAATTTGACTGCATGGTAATGGACGACGAAACCTACGTCAAAGCCGACTACAAGCAGCTTCCGGGACAGGAGTTTTATACGGCAAAAGGAAGGGGAAAGGTAGCAGATGTTTTCAAGCACATGAAACTGTCAAAGTTCGCAAAGAAATATCTGGTTTGGCAAGCCATCTGTACCTGTGGCTTGAAAAGCAGCATTTTCAT